TCCTGCTGTTCCAAGAAAGACAGTCTTCTGGGGCTGAGCTGGTCTTATTTGCTCAGTCCAGGTCTTATTTCTTGAGACTTCTGGCCCTGCTCCAGGGGCTCCGTGACAACTGGCACAAGGGTGAGTTTCTTCTCCCAGAGGCGCTCTAACTCTATTCATAGGTCTTGGTATTCTGTGCTCTCATTACAGTTACTATTGATATTATTATTTAAAACATATTTCATGCTGCCTTTCTGCCCGATCAGGGTCCACAAGGTGGCAGGCATAGAATACATTAGAACATTTGAACAATTAAAAACCCAGTTAAAATTATAAAATAATTTTTCTTTGTTTTCTGTTACTGTTCATTTGACCCAGTAGTCTCAAACAGCTGCTGAGAGTCTGTTTTTAAGCAATTAATGGAAAGCTACCCACATAATGATAAGGTTTGTGCAGCTGCTTTAGAATGTTTCCATATTTCTACAATGGCAGCAAAAAAATTAGTGACCCTGTATGTAAGCCATCCATCTTTATTACTCAGTAGCCCAGATATCTCAGCGAAACCTTCTCTTCCCAGTTTTATGAATGATTTCTGTCCAAGCCACCAGCTGTTGATTTTCAGATATATAGCTGGTAATTGGGACTGAATTGTTAAAGAAGAGATTGATTAAGAGGTAGAGTCAGGGAACGTATCCTTGTAAAAATGAATTCCTAGACATGAAGGGATGAGCGAAAGATAGAATAAAGTTAAACAGAAGTGTAAAATTAAGAACAAATATAAATAAGTTTTATGTCGTCAGCCAGCAGGTTCTGATTGTAGCAAGTAGTTTATGTAGTACTGTAGTCATGTATGATTTAGGTATGGTAGATGAATGAGTTGTAGAAGAAATTATTGTCTGTGTCTATGTAAGATGATTGTCCATGGTTTATGTATGATTGTAGTTGTGTATGGTATTTTTTTTTGTTTATAAAATAAAACCAAAAATTGCCTCCACCCAATCCAGAGACCTTTCAAGCTACTCTTCTTCTTTCAGACCCCTCCTGCCCCATAGACCCTCATTCGCAATAATCAAATATAAGAGAAATAATACTGAGTAAGGTCTTAAAAAAAAATGGTTCTGATTTCTGCTTAAGGTGATAACCGTATGAACAGTACTAGATAGACAGACAGACAGACAGACAGACCTTCACTTGCAAAACCCATCCAGTGCATAAACGTGTTCTCTCTGTAGCCCGTGGCTGCCGGCTCTGGAATCCCAGAGATCAAATGCTACCTGAATGGGGTGAAGGTGCCCGGGATCGTCCGGCTCCGGACTCTGGTGTGCAAAGCTCTTGGTGTGCTCTTCAGTGTGGCTGGAGGTAGGAGAAATCCAGTAGCTTCTCTCTCTCTCTCTCTCTCTCTGTGTCGGTGGGAGAAGTTTTGTGCCAAAAAAGAATTTTCTTCCACGTCTCCAGTCTTGGTGATTTTGATTCCCCACTCCTCCACATGCAGCGAGCTGGTGTGACCTTGGGTCCGTCACAAGTTATTTCAGAGCAGTTTCTGTCAGAGCTCTCTCAGCCTCGCCTACCTCACAGGGTGTCTGTTGTGGGGTGGGGAAGGGAAAGGAGATGATAAGCCGCTCTGAGACTCCTTCGGGTAGTGAAGGATGGGGTATGAATCCAATCTCCTCTTCTTCTCTTCTTTTTCCGTCCAGGCCTCTTTGTAGGGAAGGAAGGGCCCATGATACACAGCGGGGCCGTGGTGGGGGCCGGCTTGCCTCAGGTGAGTACCGGAGCCTTCGCCCATTCTGGCTGGCTGGTAGAGCTAACTGTTCCTCCTAGAAACACCATTCTTCCATCTTCTTTAACTGTGCTGGTTTGCATAATTTATCTTAATTTGTACAATCGCCCAGTCTGTTCTGGCTGTGCGAGTATGGGGTGGGGACGGGACAAACCAAGATCTACTTAGAGTGTGGCAGCCCCTGTCAGTCTTAGGCCACCTCCTGGCCCTGCACAAAGACTTCCGAACTGCAAGCTTAAAAGGGAGGTGGATGAATCTGAATTTAGCTCCAATTCCACATCTTGCGGGTTATTAACTCTTGTCACACATGGACTTGGCTGTCTTTGTAGAGACAGGAGGGCCCTTCTAGGGCAGAGGTGTCAAACTCATTTGTTATGAGGGCCTGATCTGACATAAACGTCACTTTGTCGGGCCGGGCCATGTGTGCCATGAAACGTAATGCCAGGTACTGGAGATATAAACTGTATAAAGGACAGCAGCTGGTAAGCTCCAAGTTGGTGTATCTAAGGCCCCATGGGCTGGGAGGAGGGTGCAAAGGAAAAGCCATATGTGTGAACTGGAGAGCCAACAGTGAAGCGGTGGGTAGACGCTCCCACGCTGCTTGACTGCTGCAGACGAGGTTGTTCTGCCGTTCTGAAGCTGCAGTTGGAGTGGCTCCGCCCACTTCCCACCTGAGCAGTCTCCCGTTCCCTCCCTTGCACCAGTTGCTCACGGGCCGCATAAGAGCCCTGGGTGGGCCAGTTCCGGCCCCTGGGCCTTATGTTTGACATCCCCATTCTAGGGTCCTTTTAGCTGGGTTTTGGCTACTTATCCATCCTTCCCCCCCCCATCTCTCCAGTTCCAGAGCATCTCCTTAAAGAGGATCCAGTTTAACTTCCCCTACTTCCGCAGCGACAGGTACAGTGCCGTCTTGGGGAAGGGGGTTCAGGGGAGGGAAGCAGGCAGGAGGCTGAGGAGCAGCCGGGCTCAGCACAGTCCCAGAACGAATCCTCTCCCCTCTGCAGGCTCACGGACGGCTGCTGGACGCAAGTGCGGCTTCCCCGCCGGTGTCCAAAGCCGTCTTGCTCCAGTTCAGAAGGGCCTCCTGATTGTTTGCTCTCTCTCATCAGGGACAAAAGGGACTTTGTGTCTGCAGGAGCCGCTGCCGGGGTGGCCGCAGCGTTTGGTGCCCCCATTGGGGGCACGCTGTTCAGCTTGGAGGAGGGTTCGTCCTTCTGGAACCAGGGGCTGACGTGGAAAGTGGTGAGTACCGAGCGGAGACGACGCTCAGACACAGTCCGAGGCAGATCCTCAGACCATCTACTGCAGGGGTCCCCAACCTTTTTGAGCCTGAGGACACATTTGGGATTCCGACATAGCCGGGCGGCCGCAGCCACAACATGGCTGCTACAGGAACCTGGGAGCCAGCATCAAAATGGCTGCGAAGATCCTTGTGAAGAGAAGAAGACTGGAGGCTGAGCCCTACGAGGAAAGGCTGAGGGCCCCAGGAAGGTTCAGTCTGGAGAAGAGGAGATTGAGGGGGGACATGATTGCTCTCTTTAAATATCTGAAAGGCTGTCATTTGGAGGAGGGCCAGGAGCTGTTTCCAGTTGGCAGCAGAGGAGAGGACCCGAAGCAACGGGTTTAAGTTACATGCAGAAAGGTATCGGCTGGATATTAGGAAAAAGTTTTTCACGGTCATAGTGGTTCAAAGATGGAACCAACTGCCTAGGGAGGTGGTGAGCTCCCCGTCACTGGCAGCTTTCAAGAAGAGGCTGGACGAATACTTGTCAGAGATGCTCTAGGCTGGTCCTGCATTGGGCAGGGGGTTGGACTGGATGGTCTGTATGGCCTCTTCCAACTCTAGGATTCTGTGATTCTAAGAAGAAGAGATGGGATTTATACCCCCTTGCCCTTCACTCAGAGTCTCAGAGCGGCTTACAATCTCCTTTCCCTTCCCCTCCCCACAACAAGACCCCCTGTGAGGCAGGTGGGGCTGAGAGAGCTCTTTCCAGAACTGCCATTGAGAGAACAGCTCTGAGAGAACTATGGCTTGCCCGAGGTCATCCAGCAGCTGCAAGTGGAGGAGTGGGGAATCAAACCTGGTTCTCCCAGATTAGAGTCCGCGCACTTAACCACTACACCAAACTGGCTGTCTGTGCTGTGGTGGCAGCTGCTTCTGACGCAACATTTTTAAAAATCTGCACAACCAGTCAGAAGCCTTGTTTGGAGAAGTCCTTTCCCACCTTGCCCAGTTGCTAAAAACACTTTGCAGGTGCCAGAAAAGGTTGTGGCAGGTGCCGTGGCGCCCGTGGGCACCGTGCCAGGGACCCCTGTTGTAATTCAGCTCAGTCTCATCTGCTTCTGCCGGCAGTGGCTCTCCAGGCCTTTTCTAACCTGAGTTTCTTTTAACGGGGGGGTGCTGGGTATCGAACCCAGGACCTTCTGCACGCAGTAGGCAAGGACTGCAACTTTTAGGATTTATTGCACCCTTCGAAGGGAGCCACTTTGAAAATCTGTTCCCAGCTTTGTGGCAGTGGAGACCTAGTCAGTGAAATTAGGAGTGGCGATTCCTGTCAGAAGATATTTAAGTGCTGTTTAGGCTTCAAGGCCAACTGCACCATGCTAAATTCTTTCACGGAGTGATGGCATCCCATGCGTTACGTCATTACTGTTTTTGTAGTTGGTCTTCGAACACAAAGCATCGAAGAAGATCCAATTCGAAACAAGCAACTGAACTGGGGCGCGTACATCTTGTGGTTATTGAAGGTGCACGTCATCTGCTTTTGAAGATTTTTTTTATTTATATCATTTGCCATTCCTTACGGTTATTTGTTAGGAATTTATACATGACTTATTTGTGCCGTGTTTTGTAGAGCCAGTTTGGTGTAGTGATTAGGAGTGCAGACTTATCTTGGAGAACTGAGTTTGATTCCCCCCTATTTTACATGCAACTGCTGGTGTGACCTTGGGTCAGTCACAAGTTCTCTCAGAGCTGTTCTCTCACAGGCAGTCCTTGAGAAGACCTCTCAGCCCCATCTACCTCCCAGGGTGTCTGTTGTGGGGAGGGGAAGGGAAAGGATTGTAAGCTGCTCTGAGACTCCTTTGGGTAGTGAAAGGCAGGGTATAAATCCAATCTCTTCCTCTTCTTTTCCTTTCTATATGACATTAAGGTGGTGTTTGTAATTCTGATTTGGTGTACTTAAATATAATTTAACATCACAGATTTTATTCTTCAAAATTCTTAAAAAATTTTCAAAATTTATTTTTTAATTCCTATATTAGAAAATATTACAAGAATCATTTTGACTTTACATACAGGTTTTATGCAGCCAGTTCCGGTGGGGTTTTTTTGTTTTGGCTTGCACATAGAATCCATTGGCAGAGAAGCGGCCTCGGTTACTAAATGTCTTCTCTTTCCGTCTTTCCCTCTCCTCTTCCAGCTCTTCTGTTCCATGGCAGCCACCTTCACTCTGAACTTCTTTCGTTCTGGGATTCAGTTTGGAAGCTGGGGCTCCTTCCAGCTCCCAGGTCTGCTGAACTTTGGGGAGTTTAAGGTGCGTTGGTGCTTGCAACATCCCCCTCTTTGGCCGTTTTTGGTGTTTGAAAAATATTACGCACCCGTGATAATCACACCCCCTCCAAAATGCAGAGGGGGTACAACGGAAAGCGTTGACCGCTGTGCATTACGTTGATCCACCTTCCTTGCTGGTGTCTCCGCGTTCCAGTGCTCGGAATCGGACAAGAAGTGCCACCTGTGGACGGTCGTGGACTTGGGCTTCTTCATCCTGATGGGGGTCGTGGGGGGCCTGCTGGGGGCCACCTTCAACTGCATCAACAAGCGGCTGGCCAAGTACCGCATGCGGAACGTGCACCCCAAACCCAAGCTGATCAGGTACCCAGATGTTTTCCCCGTCTATGCGGCCGTGATCTGGTTCTGTTTGCCTGACGGTTTGCGACGGAACAGGACCTGCTCGGGACCGCCCATCGCAGGGGCACATTTTGGCACTGAATCGAGTAGCGCTTATTCCTAACTGAGCAGACAGATGTCGGTGCCTTTCCCAGGCGGGTGCTCTCCCCACCTCCCCATGTGGCTGTAAAGACTGGGGCAACCTTGTGGCCACCCCCTTCCTTTCCTTTGAGACTGGTGACCAGTGTTCCCTCTAAGCTGAGTTGGTGTGAGCCAGCTCACAGTTTTTTTAGACTCCAGCGCACACATTTCTGTCTCAGCTCAGGAAGGACGGCTCCAGAGCAAGCCAATTTATGCAGGAGCCAAATCGCTCGCTCACAACTTTAATGCCAGTCGCTCACAAAGTAGACTTTTTGCTCACAAGACTCCACAGAGGGAGCATTGCCGGTGACCAGTGTTCCCTCTAAGCTGCGTTAGTGTGAGCTAGCTCACAGTTTTTTAGCCTCCGATAATAAAGGAGAGATTAAGGTGGTGTTTGTATGGTGTACTTAAATATAATTTAACATCACAGATTTTATTCTTCAAAATTCTTAAAAAAAATTCAAAATTTATTTTTTAATTCCTATATTAGAAAATATTACAAGAATCATTTTGACTTTACATACAGGTTTTATGCAGCCAGTTCCGGTGGGTTTTTTTTGTTTTGGCTTGCACATAGAATCCATTGGCAGAGAAGTGGCCTCGGTTACTAAATGTCTTCTCTTTCCGTCTTTCCCTCTCCTCTTCCAGCTCTTCTGTTCCATGGCAGCCACCTTCACTCTGAACTTCTTTCGTTCTGGGATTCAGTTTGGAAGCTGGGGCTCCTTCCAGCTCCCAGGTCTGCTGAACTTTGGGGAGTTTAAGGTGCGTTGGTGCTTGCAACATCCCCCTCTTCGGCCGTTTTTGGTGTTTGAAAAATATTACGCACCCGTGATAATCACACCCCCTCCAAAATGCAGAGGGGGTACAACGGAAAGCGTTGACCGCTGTGCATTACGTTGATCCACCTTCCTTGCTGGTGTCTCCGCGTTCCAGTGCTCGGAATCGGACAAGAAGTGCCACCTGTGGACGGTCGTGGACTTGGGCTTCTTCATCCTGATGGGGGTCGTGGGGGGCCTGCTGGGGGCCACCTTCAACTGCATCAACAAGCGGCTGGCCAAGTACCGCATGCGGAACGTGCACCCCAAACCCAAACTGGTCAGGTACCCGGATGTTTTCCCCGTCTTTGCGGCCGTGGTCTGGTTTTGTTTGCCTGACGGTTTGCGATGGAACAGGACCTGCTCGGGATCGCCAGTCGCAGGGGCGCATTTTGGCACTGAATCGAGTAGCGCTTAGTCCTAACTGAGCAGACAGATGTCGGTGCTTTTCCCAGGCGGGTGCTCTCCCCACCTCCCCATGTGGCTGTAAAGACTGGGGCAACCTTGTGGCCACCCCCTTCCTTTCCTTCGAGACCGGTGACCAGTGTTCCCTCTAAGCTGAGTCGGTGTGAGCCAGCTCACAGTTTTTTAGCCTCCATATTTCTGTCTCGACTCAGGAAGGACGGCTCCAGAGCAAGCCAATTTATGCAGGAGCCAAATCACTCGCTCACAACTTTAATGCCAGTGGCTCACAAAGTAGACTTTTTGCTCACAAGACTCCACAGAGGGAGCATTGCCGGTGACCAGTGTTCCCTCTAAGCTGCGTTAGTGTGAGCTAGCTCACAGTTTTTTAGCCTCCGGCTCACACATTTCTGTCTTAGCTCAGGAAGGAGGGCTCCAGAGCAAACTGTTTTATGCAGGAGCCAAATCGCTGGCTCACAACTTTAATGCCAGTGGCTCACAAAGTAGACTTTTTGCTCACAAGACTCCACAGAGGGAGCATTGCCGGTGACCAGTGTTCCCTCTAAGCTGCGTTAGTGTGAGCTAGCTCACAGTTTTTTAGCCTCCGGCTCACACATTTCTGTCTTAGCTCAGGAAGGAGGGCTCCAGAGCAAACTGTTTTATGCAGGAGCCAAATCGCTGGCTCACAACTTTAATGCCAGTGGCTCACAAAGTAGACTTTTTGCTCACAAGACTCCACAGAGGGAGCATTGCCGGTGACCAGTGTTCCCTCTAAGCTGCGTTAGTGTGAGCTAGCTCACAGTTTTTTAGCCTCCGGCTCACACATTTCTGTCTTAGCTCAGGAAGGAGGGCTCCAGAGCAAACTGTTTTATGCAGGAGCCAAATCGCTGGCTCACAACTTTAATGCCAGTGGCTCACAAAGTAGAAACTTTGCTCACAAGACTCCACAGCTTAGAGGGATCATTGCCTCCCAGGGGAGGAGGGGGCGGTTGGCCTCCAAGCACCCAGGGGCCTCGAGGCCTGTCCCAGTGTTGGCCTTCCAAGACTCCTTACGGCTGCCTCATCCCAGTCTGTGAGGGGCCGCCCCTCCACTCCCGCAGCCTTTCCCCCATAGGGCCGGGCCGCAGTGGGGAGCTCTGAGCCGTGGGTGTCCCCTGCATGGTTTCTGTCTTTCTTGCTTGCAGAGTCTTGGAGAGCCTGTTGGTGTGTCTAACGACCACCCTTGTGGTCTTTGTCGCTTCCATGGTTCTAGGGGAATGCCGCCCGATGTCTTCCGCCAGCCACGGGGACAACAGCACCGCGGGCCTGCAGGTAATCGAGTCTGCCGCGAGCCCCCAGGTGATTAAAGTTGTGAGTGGACCATTTGGCTGCTGCATCAATTAGTTTGTCCTGGAGCCCTCCTTCCTGAGCTAAGGCAGAAATGTGTGAGCTGGAGGCTAAGAAACGGTGAGCTGGCTCCCTCCCCTTAGAGGGAACATTGCTCCCATCCAAATACTAAGCAGGGCTGACCCCTGCTTAGCGTCCGAGGTCTGACAGGATGGGGCTAGCTTAGGACGTTCAGGTCAAGACACGAGATGAACAGAGGTGGCTTACTATTACCTGCCTCTGTGTGGTGACTTTCCTTGTTGGTCTCCCATCCAACTACCAACCAGGCCTGACCCTGCTTAGCTTCCGAGATCTGATGAGGTCAAGCCAGCTGGGGCCATCTCGTGGAGGGCCTCTGAAATAGAGGTAAATGTAGTTTCCAGGAGAGCCGTGCGATCTTGTTTGCCTCCGAGCGGTCAGGTTCAGTCCATCCCAGTGTACCAAACGCGACCTTGACTGCTGTTTTTAGGACTCCTCCTCTGAAGAAGTGAATTCGAGCATCAAGACCTTTTTCTGCCCCAACGACACTTACAATGACATGGCGACGCTTTTCTTCAACCCACAAGAGTCGGCCATCTTGCAGCTCTTTCACCAGGAGGGTGAGCGCGAGAACCGATCTGCTTGGGCCGGGTGGGTGGCGGTGGTGGTGGTGGGGAGGAGGGTGTGGCCGGGGTCTGGTTTAGCATTCTGCTGGGGAATTCTCTTTATGGCGTGGGTGTGGAGTGGACCTCCCTGATGTGACAATGCGGGGCCGGTCGGTGCAGCGATCGACACGAGGGTGCGCTCGTCCCTATTGGAGGAAACCGAGACGGTGGGATGTCCTTGTGAGGACTGGACCGTGTGACCAGAGCCTTGGATGGCATCCGATCATGGCCCTTTGAGGAAAGGGAATGGAGAGCAGTTGAGGAATCACAGTAAAGATGAGATAGGAAAGATGTTCTCGGGCTCACGCCTCCCGTTTTCTAGCCACTCACGGTCAGCGCAAACGAATCAAAATGGGGCGGAGAACTAAGAATCGTGTCTGGGATTTCCGTCAGCTCTACTATCCAAAGCCTCAGATGGCATCCAATCATGGCCACTTGAGGAAAGAGAATGGAGAGTGGTTGAGGGATCACGGTAAAGATGAGATAGGAAAGATGTTCTCAGGCTCACACCTCCCATTTTCTGGCCAGTCACGGTCAGCGCAAATGAATCAAAATGGGGCGGAGAATTAAGAATCGTGTCTGGGATTTCCGTCAGCTTCTGCGTTGATTGGAATTTTGATGCAACCTTGAAAGCTTCCATTTGGGGCAGAAATGGTTGAGGGGCGCAATGAGATCTCCTGGTAAAGTTAAAATTACCGTATTTTTTGGACCATAAGACGCACTTTTTCTTCCAAAAAAAGTGAGGGGAAAAATGTGTACGTCTTATGGACCGAATACTGAGCCCCAGGGTTCAGAATATTTTTTTCCCTGTTTTCCTCCTCTAAAAACTAGGTGCGTCTTATGGTCAGGTGCATCTTATGGTCCGAAAAATACGGTAATTACCCACGAATCCACGTTCGCTGAGTCCGCACCTGCTGATTCCCCCCCCTTAAACGGCAATAAACATTTAATTTGTATTATTTGATATGGCAGCTTCAGTGCTTCTGGGGACTTCCGAAAGTGCAGGGTTGGTGGGGGGCGGAGCTTTTGGTGGAGGGGTGTGGCCTCTGACTTCAGGGCAGACCCTCTACGGGCTGCTGCTCAGCCCTCTCTCTCTCTCTCACTGTTCTCTTGCAGGTACTTTCAGCCCGGTCACACTTTCCCTGTTCTTCCTTCTCTATTTCTTACTCTCCTGCTGGACCTATGGGATCTCTGTGCCCAGCGGCCTCTTTGTCCCGTCTCTGCTCTGTGGAGCCGCCTTTGGACGCCTGGTCGCCAACCTCCTCAAAAGGTGCCTCCGTCGCCTCGGGTTCACGTCGCGGGGGTGCAGCCCTGGCCTCCCGGCCCTGACGCCCCCCTCCCTCTTGTCTGTGCTCCTCCTTAGCTACATCGGCTTGGACCACATTTATTCGGGGACCTTCGCGCTGATCGGAGCGGCCGCCTTCCTGGGCGGGGTGGTGCGCATGACCATCAGCCTGACCGTTATCCTGATCGAGTCCACTAATGAGATCAGCTACGGGCTCCCCATCATGGTCACCCTCATGGTGAGTCCGGGCCATGGTCAATGATAGCTGCCTCCTTCCATATGTCCCTGTGAGCCAGCCACAGCCATCGGGTGGACAGCCTGGCACTGTCGTGGCTCTGCCTCAGTGGATGAAGAGTTTGGTGTCGTGGTTAGGAGCACGGACTCTAAGCTGGGAGAACCGGGTTTGATTCCCTGCTCCTCCACATTGCAGCTGCTGGTGTGACCTGGGTCAGTCACAAGTTCCCTCGGAGTTGTTCTCTCAAAAGCAGTCCTCGAGAGACCTCTCTCAGCCCCACCTACCTCACAGGCAGTGTTCCCTCTCAGCTGAGTTAGTGTGAGCTAGCTCACAGTTTTTTAGCCTCTCGCTCACACATTTTTGACTTAACTCAGGGTGGATAGCTCCAGAGCAGACTCATTTATGCAGCAGCTCGCTCACAACTTTCATGCCAGTAGCTCACAACATGGAATTTTTGCTCACAAGACTCCACAGCTTAGAGGGAGCATTGCCCACAGGGTGTCTGTTGTGGGAGGGGAAGGGAAAGGAGTTTGTGAGCTGCTCTGAGACTCCTTTGGGTAATGAAGGGTGGGGTATAAATCCAATCTCCTCCTCCTCCTCCTCTTCCTCTTCCTCCTCCCCCCCCCAAAGAGGTGAGGGGGGGCCCTTCCTTGGAGGTCTTCAGGAGGTGCTGTAAGGCTCGCTTGTTTGCCTGGGCTTTTGAGGGGGGGGTCGAATGGGGTTTGTTATTTTATTTTTAGTTTTGAACTGAAAAGGTCCTTATGTATTATTGTAGGCTGCCTTGAACCATAATGAGAGGTGGGATATAAATGTATAAATTGGTGGCGGAGGTAGTGATGTGGCTCAGATGCATCCGGAGAGTTTTACGTACCTCATCTCGATAATATTGCTAGCAGCCCTGCAAAGTCGATCCGTGCTCCGATGCTCCCTCTAAGTTGTGAAGTCTCGTGAGCAAAAATTCTACTTTGTGAGCGACCGGCATTGAAGTTGTGAGCGAGCCATTTGGCTGCTGCTTTCAGTGCACTTTGCAGCCACAGAGTCCATCCTCCAAGGAAGCCAGTTTCTCCTGGCAAACTGGTCCCTGTAGTCTGAAGACCGGTTGTAATTCCAGGGGATCCCCAGGCCTCAACTGGTGTTGGCAACCCTAGTTCCCATGGATTTCTGATTCTGGCATAGTTCCCCCCCCTCCCCATAGGGTTTTTGCTTGGGCATGTATTCAAAAGGATTCTGGTGAAGGACAAGGTATGATGCGTGTGCACAGGAAAGCTCGGTGGGAAACACGTTCCCTCTCTGTTCCAGGTAGCCAAGTGGACCGGGGACTTCTTCAACAAGGGCATCTACGACATCCATGTGAACTTGCGAGGGGTGCCACTTCTGGAATGGGAAACCGAAGTGGAAATGGACAAGTGAGTCCCTCCTTCTTGCGTTCGCCTGCTTCCATTAGTTTTAATCGGGGAGAAACTCGTCCCCGATGGATCAGTGCAGGCGGCAGGGGGCTAATCCTTCTTCCTGCCCCCCTAGGCTGAGAGCCGGTGACATTATGGAGCCCAACCTGATGTACGTTTACCCCCACACCCGGATCCAGTCCCTGGTGAGCATTCTGCGCACGACGGTCCATCACGCCTTCCCCGTGGTCACGGAAAACCGGGCCTATGAGAGGGAGTTCATGAAATGGGACCAACTGATCAGCAACAACATCAAATTCAAGGTGAGTCTATGCCCCCATTGCCGAGGAGAAAGAAGTGAACAGTTTGTGTGTGGGACACAGATCTTAGTTTCTTTGTGTACACTTCCGGTTGAGGTGTGGAAAGGAGGATACTGTGTGTGTGTGTGTGTGTGTGTGTAAAGTGGTGTTCAGTCACAGATGACTTTATGGCAACCCTGTAGGGTTTTTAAGGCAGGAGATTAAGCAATGTAAGAGGCAGGGGTCATTTCGTAGAAAAAGAGGTGCAGGAGCTCATTAGCATAACTTGTTTGCATATGCCACACCCCCTGACATCACCGGAAGTGTGTCCAAAGGCAACACCCACCGCTCAGGCTCCACTGGACTGTTGTGGATTGCTAGCTATTGGGGGGGGGGGACGTGCAGATCTGTCCTCGCAGAGGAGGGAGAGCTTGTACCTGAAAAAAACTTGGTCTTAAAAGTGCCACAGGACTGTTTTGGGCCGGGGGGAGCTCTGCAACTTACCTAACTGCTTCTTGCTCTGACTGAGGGCTGCTGGGAGCAGGGGGTGGGGCTTGTTGCATGTGCCCGCCCCCTGGGCTCCTTACTGCTGGAGCTCCGCTCCTGTGTGCTCCTGCAGGAAATGACCCCTGGTAAGAGGTATTAATTCTGGTTCATATTTGGGTCATATTGTTGTAAGTCCCTCTGTGACACGTACACCACTGTATGATATGGGAAACTCTGGTTCACATAACCCTGTTGGTGTGTCTTTGCAATGTCTTGGTAGTAGTTTGTGACACATTGTCACTCTAAAGCTGCATTTGGTTTCTAGGATTGTATTAGTGTTTGCATTTTAGCAGGGGTTTTGTTTTG